AATTCTTAAATAGCCTTAACTTTGGACGGGTCCAACTCGATTCCATGTCGATTGATAATGAATCCCAACAGCTTTCCTACGGGAACCCCAAATGCACATTTTGCGAGGTTAAGTTTTAGATTGTACCTTCTTAGCCTATTAAAGAACTTTCTCAAGTCTGCTATGTGATCTGCGGCCTCCTTGGATTTGATAATGACGTCGTCAACATACATCTCGAACCTTCCTGTTAGCATAACTCTTTTGTATCGATTGCGTTGTATGAAGTCTCTCCTGAATTACCTTCACCTTTTCTAAGGCATCTTGCACCAAGTCTGTCCTCAATAGCCTAGCCTCACCCGGCTCGAACCAACCAACTGGAGATCTACACCGCCTCCCATACAAGGCCCCATATGGAGCCATCTGAATACTCGACTGGTAGCTATTGTTATAAGCAAACTCTGCAAGTTGTAGAAACTGATCCCTTGACCCTCCAAAATTAATAACACAAGCACGCAACATGTCCTCCAATATCTGAATAGTGCGTTCGGACTGCCCGTCCGTCTGAGGGTGAAAAGATATGCTTAACTCAACCTGAGTGCCCAACTCTCGTTGCACAGACCTCCAAAACTGCAAAGTAGACTGAGTGCACCTATCTGAAATGATGGAAACTGGGACACCATGCAAACGAACAATCTCCCGGATATAGATCTCTGCCAACCGCTCTGAAGAATAGGTAGTACACACAGGAATGAAGTGCACGGACTTGGTCAACCGATCCACAATCACCCAAATAGCATCGAACTTCTTCAAAGTCCGTGGGAGCCCAACTACAAGGTCCATAGTGATCTGCTCCCACTTCCACTCTGGAATATCCATCCGCTGAAGCAAGCCACCCGGTCTCTAATGCTTATATTTCACCTGCTGACAATTGAGACACCGAGCTACAAATCCCACAATATCCTTCTTCATTCTTCTCCACCAATAATGTTGTCTCAGATCCTGATACATTTTCGTAGCACCTGGATGAATGGAATACCGCGAGCTATGTGCCTCTTCTAGAATCAACTCCCGAAGCCCATCTACATTGGGCACACATACCCGGCCCTGCATCCTTAACACCCCATCATCACCAATAGTCACATCTCTGGCATCATCGTGCCGAACTCTGTCCTTAAGGACAAGCAAATACAGATCATCATACTGGCGCTCTCTGATGCGATCATATAAGTAAGACCGAGAAACCACATAAGCCAATACTCGACTGGGCTCCAAACTATCCAACCTCACAAATTGATTGGCCAAGGCCTGAACATCAACTGCAAGAGGTCTCTCCCCAACTGGAATATATGCCAAACTTCCCATACTCACTACTTTCGGCTCAAGGCATCGGCCACCACGTTGGCCTTCCCCGAATGGTACAATATAGTGATATCATAATCCTTTAGCAACTCTAACCATCTTCGCTGCCTCAAATTGAGATCCTTCTGCTTGAACAAGTGCTGGAGGCTACGATGATCAGTAAACACCTCACAAGACACACCATACAAGTAATGTCTCCAAATCTTCAATGCGTGAACTATTGCATCCAACTCCAAATTATGAACAGGGTAGTTCTTCTCATGGGGCTTCAACTGACGAGAAGCATAAACAATAACTCTACCCTCCTACATCAACACATACCCAATACCAACTCTCGAAGCATCACAATACATAGTGTATGAACCCGAAGCTAATTGCAAAACTAACATTGGAGCTATGGTCAAGACTGTCTTGAGCTTCTGAAAGCTCTCCTCACACTCATCCGACCATACAAATGAAGTGCCCTTCTTAGTCAACTTGGTCAAGGGCGATGCGACAAATGAAAATCCCTGAACAAACTGGCGATAATAACCCACCAAACCAAGAAAGCTGCGAATCTCTGTGGCTGAGGACGGTCTGGGCTAACTCTAAACCGCATCTATCTTCTTTGGATCAACCTGAATACCCTCGCTGGACACCACGTGCCCCAAGAAAGCCACTAAACTGAGCCAAAACTCACACTTGGAGAATTTTGCATAAAGCTTCTCCTCCCCCAATCTCTGCAACACAACTATCAAATGCTCTGCGTGCTCTTCCTGACTACACGAATACACCAGAATATCATCAATGAAGACTATGACAAACGAGTCGAGATAAGGCTGAAACACACTGTTCATCAAATGCATGAATGCTGTTGGGCATTGGTCAGCCCAAAAGACATCACCGAGAACTTATAATGACTATATCGGGTCCTGAAAGCTGTCTTAAGAATATCTGATTCCCTAATCTTCGACTGGTGATAACCTGAATGGAGATCAATCTTGGAGAACACTCTCGCTCCCTGAAGCTGGTCAAACAAATCATCAATACGAGGCAAATGATACTTGTTCTTAATTGTTACTTTGTTCAATTGCCTATAATCAATACACATCCTCATAGTGCCATCCTTCTTCTTCACAAATAGAACCGGCGCACCCCAAGGGGACACACTAGGCTGAATGAACCCCTTATCAAGTAGTTCCTGAAGCTGCTCCTTTAACTCCTTCAACTCCGCTGGTGCTATACGATACATCGAGATAGAAATGGGCTGAGTGCCCGACACCAGATCAATACCAAAGTCAATATCCCTGTCCAGTGGCATGCCCGACAAGTCTACAGGAAACACATCGGGAAAACTCCTCACAATTGGAATAAATATTGGGAGTCTCTGCACTGACATCCCTCACAAAAGCTAGATACAAAAGACAACCCTGCCCAACCATACGCTGGGCTTTCAAGAATGAGATCACTCTACTGGAACATAATCAGTCAAACCTCGCCACTCAATCCGTGGCACACCCGGTATAGCCAGTGTCACTGTCTTGGCATTACAGTCCAGAATAGTACAACACGGAAATAACCAATCCATGCCGAAAATAACATCGAAATCTATCATACACAATAATAAAAGATCCACTCGAGTCTCCAGACCCCCAATAGTCACCACACACGATCGGTACACACGGTCTACAATAACAATATCGCCCACCGGGGTAGATACATGAACAGGTGAAGCAAGAAACTCATGTGGCATACCCAAATAACAAACAAAGTATGTTGACACATAAGAAAAGGTGGAACTGGGATCAAATAATACAGAGGCATCTCTGTGGCAGACTGAAACAATACCTGTGATAACAGCATCAGAAGCAATAGCATCGGGTCTAGCTGGAAGTGCATAAAAACGAGCCTGACCGCCACCTGATCGAGCTCTCCCTCTAGACCCCTAGCTGACTAACCTCCACCCCTAGCTGGCTGGGCAGGTGGTGGTGAAGTAACTAGCGCTGAAGCCGATGACTGACCCCTCTGCTGAGATGAACCCGCAAGACGACGAGGACACTGCCTCCACATATGGACCATCTCTCCACACTCATAACTCCTAGGTGCTGGAGAAGGGGACTGAAGGGAACCCCTAGCACCGGAATGACTAGTAGATGCACTCGGCATAGAAGAGCCCTGAACTGATGGAGCATGGGACGAACTTTGAGCTGGAAGGGCACTAAGTGATCACTGGCCCTGATGAGAAATGTGAGACCCATGACCCGACGACGCCCCACGATAACCTGGGCGAGCTGGCTGAGCATGCCTGAATGGACAACCTATGCCATGCTGAAACTGACCTCTCGAAGGAGCACCACTATAACTACCAAATCCTCGAGGCCTCTTGGCCTCTCTCTCCTCTTGCTCCTGGCGACGAACAGACTCAATCTCCCGAGCAATGTCTACAACCTCCTCAAAGGTAGCACCAATCACCCTCTCTCTGGTCATGAGAATACGAAGCTGATAAGTGAGGCCATCAACAAACCTCCTAATCCTCTCTCTATCTGTCGGAACCAACCAAATAGCATGACGAACTAACTCAGAGAACCTCATCTCATACTGCATCACCGTCATCTCTCCCTGACGCAACCACTCAAACTGCCTGTGCAGCTCCTCTATGCGAGACTGCAGCACATACTTCTCCAGAAAGAGAATGGAGAACTGCTTCTAGGTAAGAGGTGCTGCACCAACAAGCCTACGCCTCTCAAATGCCTCCCACCAAGTGAAGGCAGCTCTAGAAAACTGATAAGTAATGAAAGCGACCCTGCCAGTCTCCAGAATACCCATTGTACGAAGCATCCTCTAACACTTATCCAAGAAACCCTAAGCATCCTCGCCCTCTGCACCACTAAAGGTCGGAGGTTGAAGTCTACCAAACCTCTCCAACCTACGCTACTCGTCCTCTGGCATAGCAGTAACTACATAGTCCTGAACAGCTACAACCGGCTAGGCTGGATGTGCCCCCGACGTCTAAAGTCCCTACATGACCTGGTCAGGTGTGTGAGCAGCAGGAGTCTGATTGCCTCCCCCGGCCTGAGAAGTAGCTGCAGCTGTAGTGATTGAAACCGCCTGAGCTAGGCTAGTGCAAACTGATAGAATCTGAGCCAAGGCCTCCTGAAGACCCAGAATCACAATGGGTAGAGCTGGTGCTGCTGGATCATCCACAACTGGGACCTGATCCTAAATTGGGGTAGCTGGTAGGTCTGCAGATGTTGCCCTAGCTGCTATGTGGGCCATACCTCTACCCCTACCGCGACATGACCGCATCTTCGGCCTCTAGTGGCCAAAACTGGTGGTACTGGTGATCGTCCATCCTGACCGGTAGCGCGTGTCCTCACCATCTGTGAGAGAATAGAATAACAGAAGTTTAGTACTTGGATCAACAAATTCGCACGACAAGAATTTCAAGGATATGAAGTTTTTCTAAAGGTTCTGCAGCCTCTTGAGAATAAATACAGACGTCTTCATACCGATCCGCGAGACTCTAATAAACCTGCTCATGACTCATAAGACCTATGTAACCTAGGCTCTGATACTAACTTATCACGACCCTAAACTCGGGCACGGTCATAATGGCACCTCTCGTGAAGATAAGGCCAGCCGACACTTTCCCATTTCAGTTTTAAGCAGTTAACCAATACGAATTAAGTCTATAATGTAATAAACTAATCCAAAAGTAAGCAGTAGACATTACAGTTTACGGAAATAAAACCCAACACAGCCCGATACTGGGGTGTCACTAGTCATGAGCATCTATTAATACACTACAAGTCTGAAATGCCTACTAAACTATTACAGAATAACTGATAAAAAGAAGGAAATGAGATAAAGGGGGAGGAACACGGGACTACGGACGCCAAGTAGCTACCTCATGGACTCCGAAGTCTGCCGGGAGCTCTCAACTCGCTCTAGCAGGATCAACAATGCCTGAATCTGCACACAGGGTACATGGAGTAAAGTGAGTACTCCAACTCAGTGAGTAATAATCATAAATAAACAACTGAGAGATATGAAAACACGTAAGGCACATTACAGGCTATAATGAAGTTGTAAAACAGAGAACCAGTAAAGATATGTAAAATCATTTAAGTTCAGTTTAAACTTCATGGAATGCCTTTTCAACAATTAAACAGGTAAATGACAGCCAAATAAGAAAGATAAACACATAAAGGTTCGCCCCCCGGGCACAATGTCAACAATTTCGGCCCTCGGGCAATATTTCAGAACAATACCAGCCCCTCGGGATACATCTCACATCACAATGGGTACCTACGCTCACTGAGGGTGTGCAGACTCCTGGAGGGGCCCCTTACGACCCAAGCGCAATATCAAGCCATCTTGTGGCATCATCTCCAGGCTCTCAGCCTCATATTAACAAGCCATCTCGTGGCGTATGAATCTCAAGCCCTCGGCCTCATAATCATAGTCAATGTTTCCTCACAACATAAGCCCTCGACCTTACTCAGTCAAGATCCTCACAAGCCACTCGAGCAATAGTAAAACATGATTCTCAGCCCAAAATATCATTTAAAATATCATTTAAGCATTAAAATAGAGTAAACATGGCTGAGTTATGAAAATAGTGAAATATAACATGACTGAGTTCAGGTATAAAGTCAAAATAGTGAGGAAATATCAATAAAAATCCCCTAAGGGTTCAAATAGTTGGCACTAGGCCCAAATATGGCTTTTAGCCCAAACCATGATGTTGACAAATAGATTTCAGTCAAATACGCGGTAAAATAGTCATTCAGGATGGACTAATTCACAATCCCCAAGAGTGCACAACCCCATGCTCGTTATCAAGCATGTGTGTCACCTCAATATAGTACAACGATGTGCAATCCGGGGTTTCATATCCTCAGGACATCATTCACAATCATTGCTCACCTCAATCAGGTCCAAACTCTAGCCCGCGATGCCTTTTCCCCTCGAATCGGCCTCCACTCGCGTCGAATCTATCCAAATACAAATCACGGCGTAAAAATATGCTAAGGGAGTGAAGCCCAAGCGAAAATAAATAATTTACAACATAAATCCCGAAATTACCAAAACCCGACCCCGGGCCCACATCTCGGAATTCAATAAAATTCACACCAATAGATTCCTTATCTCCAAACGAGTTCATACATATCAAAAGTATCAAAATCCGACCACAAATGGTCCCTCAAATCCTCAAGTCTAGGTCTCCAATACCAAGCCCTAGTTTCCCCAATTTTAGCCCTTAAATTCTATTAATTATAGCTCTAATCCGTGAAATAATACCATTGGAACGGGTTTTAGGTCCAAAATCCTTACCTCAATGAAGTTCCCTTGAAATTCTTCTTCAAAATCGTCTAGAAAGCTCCAAAGCCAACTTAGAAATAGTGAAATAGCTCAAAAATTGCGAAAGAAACAATTTATACCTTCTGGCCCAGGGATTTCGCATCTGCGGCCCAATTCCCGCTTCTGCGGTCAAGACAACCGCATCTGCGGTCCTCACTTAAGTCCCATTTTTCGCATCTGCGATGCACAAGCTACACCTGCGCCATCGCAGGTGCGGTCCCACAACCGCTTCTGTGGTTCCTGCCAACTTCACCATCTTCCGCTTCTGCGACGAATATTCCTCCTTTGCGGCGTCGCACCTATGGTCCCCAATCCGCAGGTGCGGAAACAATAGAAGCAGCAAAAATCTGCAGCTCCTCTAAACTCCCAAACTCTTCGTCAACCATCCGAAATCACCCTGAGGCCCCTCGGGACCTCAACCACAAGCACAAACATATCCCAAAACCTTATTCAAACTTATACCAATCTTTAAAACACCTCAAACAACATCGAATCAAACCAAAACACATTGGATTCAAGCCTAAGTTTCCAAAATTTTCCGAATTCCTCTTTTGATAAAAAACCCAACCAAACCATGTCCGAATGAACTGATATTTTGCACATACATCCCAAATGACACAACGGAACTACTGTAACTCTCGGAATTCAATTCTGACCTCTATATCAAAATCTCACCTATCAACCGGAAATCGCCAAAAATTCAATTTCGCCAATTCAAGCCTAAATCTACTCCGGACCTCCAAAACTCATTCCGATCATGCTCCTAAGTCCCAAATCACCCCCCGAAGCTATCCGAATAATCAGAACTCACATCCATCCCTCTAACACATAAGTCAACATCCAGTTGACTTTTCCAACTTAAGCTTCCTCAAAAGAGACTAAGTGTTTCAAACCTTACCAAATACTTTCCGAACCCAAGTCAACCAACCCGATCACACATAGAACCGATAGACAAAGCAATAAGAAGCAGAAATGAGGGAAACAGAGTGGTAACTCATGAGACGACAGGCCGGGTCAACACAATGTCAGACCTAGATCAAGGTTCTTACAAGCTTGTTATCTGCAGCAAATGACTTGAAGTCTTGTTGAGGCTCAACTTCTTAACCAATAATACACAAGCTGAGAAGAAGTTTGAAGCTATTCCCTACTCTATAGCCTTTCAAGTTCTTTTTGTTATTTTTTGATGTGTATATAACCTCCCATCTTTGAGCTTGAATAGAGGATGTCACGACCCGAATTTCCCACCCTCAGGAGTCGTGATGGTACCTACTCGTGAAAGCTAGGCAAGCCAACTATTAAGGTTTTAACCCATTAGCAGTCAACCCAAACAAATATAAACAATAACTAAAGTTAAACAAATGAAAAGTGCAGAAGAGTTATAACAAATTATCCAATACATGTCTACCCACGAATCTGGTGTCACAAATTCACGAACATCTACGATTTCTATAAATACTAGTCTGGAAAGAAAAGTATAACTGTTCTCGGAATGAAAAGAGATAGCAGAAAGCTAAAACAGGGAAGGGGGACTTTAGGCTCTGCGGACGCCAGCAGATCTACCTTGGTCTCCCTAAATGGAAGGCAACTACCTCAACTACTCACTGGGTCCGATACCAAAATCTATACAAAAGAGTGCAGAGTGTAGCATCAGTACAACCGACCACATGTACTGAGTACGTGTCGAGCCTAACCTCGGCGAAGTAGTGACGAGGCTAAGACACGATAACCATATAAACCTGTGTAGTTAAATCATATACAAACAGAATCATAGTAACAGGAATCAACAGAATAAGGTGGGAAGGGGGCATGCTACGGGGAATATTAGATTCTAACAATAAACCAATAAAGAAGCATCAATAAAGAAGCATAATGAACATCATATCTATATCAACAAGAATAATGAAATGGTAGCACGTGCACGACATCACCCTTCGTGCTTTTACTCTCGTCCTCACCATATGAAACAAAAGAAACGACACGGCATCACCCTTCGTGCGTTACCTCTAATAATCATGGCACGACATTACCCTTCGTGCATTATTCCTCACAATATCGGCACAGCATCACCCTTCGTAAATTAACTCTCAAATCATGGCACGACATAACCCTTCGTGCATTATCACTCATAATATCGGCATGACATCACCCTTCGTGCATTACACTCACTCACAATATCATGCACGGTATCACCATTCACGCTTTACACTCTTCCTCACCCAAACAATAGAAACAATACGTCCCGGTATGGGAATCAACAATATCAACACTAACATCCCAGCAAGGGATTCAGTTATAACCAAACTTGTTTTCAACGATTACTTTACAAAATGAAACTCAACTTGAGCCAATACTCAACAATAGTCAATTACCAAGAAACTTTCATAAGCTTTGTTCAACATTGATAATCATCAGTTTGAGCATGATCGATACATAATAGAGTCACAACAATCATGATATAAGACTCACGGGCATGCTTGACACCAACATATAGATACTCGTCACCATACCTATACGTCGTACTCATACTAACACATAGCAAATAAGACGCAACTCCTATTCCCTCAAGCTAAGGTTAGGCCAAACACTTACCTCAATTTTTCGGACAAGATTAAGCCTCAATTACCGCTTTACCTCTCGATTCCACTTTCAATCCGCTTGTATCTAGTCATAATTTATTTAATAACATCAATAAATGCTAAATAAACCAATTCTAATGCATGAAAATAAATTTTCCATTGTTTTTTCCCAAAAAGTATAAAATTGCCCTCTGGCCCGCTTGGCCAAAACTCAAAATTCGAACCAAAACTCGATTACTCATTCATTTAGGAACTCAAATATTCAATTAGTATTGAAATCCGACCTCAAATTGAGGTCCAAATCCCCAAAATTTTAAAATCCTAATTTCTACCCAAACACACCCAATTTCCCATGAAAAACCCTAGATTGTAAAGTGAATTTATGTAAAAAGATGGATTAGATAGAAGAAGATGAGTTAGAAATCACTTACTTATGATTTGGAGAAGTTTGAGCCTTTAAAAAATCGCCTAAGTATGTTTAGGGTTTGAGAAAGTTGTAAAATGATCAAAAATCCTGTCTGAAATCCCACTAAACAGGTGTGTCACACCTCCTTTTTCACCTACACCCCCGGAAGGGCGTAAAGGATTTTTTCCATTTAAAGGACAATCGGAACGGGATTTAATTATTGATTATTCAGAGTCGCCACTTGAGAGATTAATGGTGTCCCAAGTCACCGGTTGTATCCCGAACCGAGGAAACATTTGACTCTGTTAACAGTCTACGAACCAGAAATCCGAGTAAGGAATTCTGTTAACCCGGGAGAAGGTGTTAGGCATTCCCAAGTTCCGTGGTTTTAGCACGGTCGCTTAACTTTTGCATTTGATTTTATCTTATTTTAATACCTGCTAGCTTAGGTGCCTTTTATTCGTAAACCGCTTTTTATTATTATTTATTTTAAAAGAATTGCGATGTCGTGAAAACGCGTTTTGAACCACGTCACAATCAATGCACCCGTGGTTGTCAATATATTTTGACTTCGTCGAGATTTGGATTTGGATCACATCAATGCGCACCCGAGTTTAAGAAGGTAATTTAATTAAAATCGCGCCTAAAGCAACTACGAGATTCATTAGTTTGAATATTTTTTAAAAGCTAATTTGAGATGTTTACTTTCCAAGGAAACTATTCAAAATAGATAAGAAAAATTGGATTATTAATGAGATTAACCAACTGCCCAACCTTAAAACCCATTTGAGCTACTTTATTTTGTTCCCTTTTCCAAAATTTTATTTGACCAAAATATGTTTTCTGAAACATAAATCTAAGATTGATGTGCAAATCTCCAGCACTCAAATGGATTGCATATGAAATTGAAATAAGAAAACGCCTAATATATGGCTATACATGACGTCAAATCTTTAAAAAACTAAACCCCTATTCAATTGATTCATGATATTAACGTAATTCCAACCACATAATAATAAGCATATCATTTTATCTTAAACACAAATTAATGTAGACAAAATTCAATAAATATCATGGAAAAAAAGAAAAATTAGAAGAATTAAAAAGAGGAGAAAAGAGACCTCTCGGAGACCAAAGTGTCCAATGCTAGCCACTGACCTGGTGATGTCCTCGAACCATTAGATCAAGGCTTCGCCGGAAACCTCAATGGAATTACGACCGGACCTCGACACTCGCCAGGTCTCTCGCCAGACTTCACCTGTTTGACCAGCTTTGGCAGAGACTCGGTAGTTTTGAACTAGAACGAGTCGTCGGTGATATCTCCAATGAGAGAGAGTGAAGTAGTTGAAGGTGATAAAGGAGCTAGGGTGATGACGAGTTTTGGCTGTGCATTTTCCGGCGAGTTCGCCGCTGGTGGGCGAGAGGAGTTGAAGAAGCTGCAATTACTCTGTTTTTCTTAGTCCCTAGGGTCGTTAGGTTGGTGAGAGGATTTGGAGAAGAAGAAAACCAGACTGATGGAGGGGGAGGGGGTCGTGTTCGAAGGAGACCAAAGTCTGGGGGAGGGGGAGTCGTTCTTTTAGAAGTTGCGCAGCTTCTCGTTCTTCAGCCTTCCTCCTTCAGCTTTTTCATCATTTTCTTTGGTGTTCCTTTTCAGAAGAAAACGAAAGGGAGGGTCCTTTTTCTTTAAAAAGGTTGCGCAGCTCCTTTTCCGTGTATATCGTTCCCCCTTTTCCTTTAGTCTTCATCATTCTTTTATAGTGTAGAGTCTAGGTTGTAGGATTTTTAGGTTAAGGGGTATGGGCCTAGGAATTATGGGCTTGACAATTATGGGTTAGGTCCAAAATTAAGCCTAAAATGGGTTGCTCGAGCCCAAGCTCTATTATTTTGCCGCGAATGAGATTAAAATATGCGCCCATTTGTTAATTATTCCTACTATTCAAATAATTATTAAGATAAAACTAACCATTAAAACAAATCTATTTTTGGTATTTTCAAAATATCATATTAAAATAAAAATACGATACTATTATTGTATATATTTTTAAGATTTTTTTTAATTAAAAATGACTACAAAACATTAATGAACCTATTTTTGTGATTTTGTTTTCTTGTAATAAAATAGAGTAAAAGAGTCAAAATTACTTAAAATATCTATATTATGCCTAAATTAAATATTTTTGCTAGTATATGAAAGATCTTGGGGAGGGTCAAAAATCACATGTCTACAGCTGCCCCTCTTTGACTGGAAACGTACAGAGTTTT